GTATATAGTTTGGATTACAGTATTATCAAAGGGAAAAAAACTACTTTTTTAAAAAAAATTAAGAGATTTCTCAAAAACACACACATATAATCTAACATTTGAGAAGCAAATTTTCTTAAGTTATAGAAAATAGAGCTGGGTCTGGCCGGTGAGGCTCAGTGATTGAGCACTGACCTATGAACCAGGAGGTCATGGTTCAATTCCCAGTCAGGGCACATCCTGGGTTGTGATCTAGATTCCCAGTGTGGGGTATGTAGGCAGCAGTCAGTCAATGATTCTCTCTCATCATTGATGTTTCTCTCTCTCCCCCTTCCTCTCTGAAATAATAAATAAATAATAAAAATGAAAAATTCAGATGGTTAGGTCAGGCTTTCTCAACTTCAGCGTTATTGACATTTTAAGCTACATAATTCTTTGAAGTGGGGGAGGGGGTGTTATTATATGCACTGTAGGATATTTAGTGGCATCCCTGGCCTCTACGATCTATGCCAATAATGACAACCAAATATGTGTCTGGACATTCAGAAGCTTCCAGCTCTAATTTCAGTCTCCCCCCACCCCCCTCACACACATTCTATGTAATAAAAGGCTAATATGCAAATTGACCAAACGGCAGACCGACCCATTGCTATGACATGCACTGACCACCCAGGAGGCAGACGCTCAATGCAGGAGCTGCCCCCTGGTGGTCAGTGCATTCCCACAGGGGGAGTGCCACTCAGCCAGAAGCCCTGAGCCGCACTTAAGGCTAACGAGTGCAGCAGTGGTGGCGGGAGCCTCTCCCACCTCTGTGGCAGCGCTAAGAATGTCCATCAGTTGGACATCCCTGAGGGCTCCCGGACTGCAAGAGGGCGCAGGCCAGGCTGAGAGCCACACCCCGCTCCAGTGCACGAATTTCATGCACTGGAGCGAGAGAGAGAGAGAGAGAGAGAGAGAGAGAGAGAGAGAGAGAGACACACACACACTTCAAGTAAAAAAAAATATTTAGAAAAGTACATTTATGTATTTATTTTGCCAACTGAATATACCCATGTAACCAGAACCCAGACAAGAAAAAGAATATTATCTTATTTGCTACCTTGTATCACAGCACATGAAAAATTGGTAGGCACATAAAGATGATCCATAAATATTGAATAAATGACTTTTAAAAGTAAAGGAAGAAGACATATAACTGCCTTCTTGGCCCCCTTACTTCAAGTCTAACCTTTCAGGTACCTAGAAAGTGATTTCTAAGGAACAAAGTTTGAAAACTACTCATATAAAGTTTAATACCCAAACAAGATGTTATATAGATTTTGTACGAGTAGTTTTCAAACTCTTTATCTGTCCACACAATGCCTGGAATAAAATTGGTAATCACATGTCAGTTTCCTGCTTTCTGTGCATTTCACATTCTCTCACCCCACTCAAATACATCTACCTAAGAAAGCAATAAAGAAATCTTACAGCCCTAGTCACTTTGGCTCAGTGGATAGAGCGTCAGCCCATGGACTGAAGAGTCCCAAGTTTGATTCTGGTCCAGGGCACGTACCTTGGTTGCAGGCTTCATCCTGGCCCTCGTAGGGGCATGTGAGGGAGGCAACCAATCAATGTGTCTCTCTCACATAGATGTTTCTTTCTGTCTCTCCTCCTCCCTTCACTCTCTCTAAAAATCAATGTAAAAATATCCGCGGGTGAGGAGTAACAAAAAAAAAAAAGATGACAGAGAACAGACAGTTCTTAATATTTACTCTCCTTGGTCAGGGTAAAATAACTAACAGATATACATACTACGGGGACAGTAATCCTCATCAGGTGAGTCAGCATGGTCTTTGCGGTGATGTCTGAATCGGTAGTCAATGCTGTCATGTACCCAGCCTTTTTCAATGAACAATCCTGGAACTTCATCTGAGAAGAGCCAGTATCTATAAATCACAACCACATATTAATAAGATAATGACAGATCATGAGCACAAGATGACTTTATTGTTGGGAAAGATGATTAAGGAATATTAGTAAACATTCAGAAATACTATACAAATTATAAAGACAAAGAATACCAAAATGTTTAGAATTTGAGACTTGTCTAAAATCTGTAATTTTTAAGCTGAGGCTTCATAGCTCAGAGGTTAGAGCACTGGTCTCGTAAAATCTGTAATTTTTATAACTTCTAATGTCTCAACTTTATACTATAACCAGGGGTTAGAGCACTGGTCTCGTAAAATCTGTAATTTTTATAACTTCTAATGTCTCAACTTTATACTCCAACATTATGTATGTATTTAAAATACCATTTTTTAAAGTCTTCCATTCGGTTCACACGTCACCTATCATCATACTTTAAGCTCCATATTTGTGATATCTTAAGAACAGGGTCATGTCTTTATTTAACTTTGTAACCCTAGCATTTGGCATATATTCAATAAATACTCAATGAATATGTGATGAATAATTGTTTCCAAAATCCATGAATAGCAAAGCTTATCTATTTTTAGTGCTTTTGACAGTTTTATAACTAGTAAAGGCTCTAACAAGATGACAAAAATTAAGTTTAGTAAGTTACCTATTATGGTTCCGATCTGTACCAATAGGAGTCCTACGCATGACTAGTTTTGCCTTGGCAATTCCCTCCTGGAATGCCTTCTCAGCAGCTGCTTTGTGTTTTCGTATTCGTTCTTCCTCAGCTTCCCGTTCTAGTTTCACTGTTAAAGACAAAGAGAGTCAACTAGACTTTTTTTTTCCTAGTAAATTCCACTCTTACAAATTAAATCACATTTGAAGCTCTACCCAGTTTGACTCAGTGGTTGGAGCATCAGCCTCCAACAGAAGGGTTGTACGTTCACTTTCCGGTCAAGGACACGTACCTCGGTTGCAGGTTTGATCCCCAGCGCCAGTTGGGAGAGTGCCAGGGGCAACCAATCCATATGTCTCTCTCACATCAATGTTTCTCTCTCTACCCCTCTGCCCCTCACTCCCACTCTCTCTAAAAAAATCAATGGAAAAAATATCCTCGGGTGAGGATTAAAATAAATCAGTCAATCACATATGCAGTAAGAAGTGCCTGGTATAAAGTATATTTTCATCAAACCTTAGTTTCCTTCTCCTAATTCTAGTATAAGAAATGACATGTAGCCCGGTCAGTATGGCTCAATGGTTGAGCACTATTCTATGAACCAGGAGATCATGGTTCCATTCCCAGTTGGGGCACATGCCCAAGTTGTGGGCTCGACCCCCAGAGGAGTGTGTAGAAGGCTGCCAATCTATGATTCTCTCTCCTCATTGATATTTCTACCCTTCTCTCCCGCTCCCTTCCTCTCTCGAAATAAAAAAAAAAAAAAATGAAATCACATTTAAAGGAAGCAATTTCTATCCGGCCCTCCTACGTTCTTTGAATTTTGGTGATGTCTCAAGCATCATCAAAATCTTTTCTCTCCAAAATTTAACTTCATTAATTTTAATAATTAAGTTATTTTATTTTATTAATAATTTAAAATGTAACTTTAAAACAGTCCTTAAATGGAATTATTTGAAAATTTTATGACAGGACCATCATAGGATCCTCAAAATGATTGGGATAAAACTAGAATAGCTATTTCAAAATAAAACAAATTTTTGCTTTGAGGAATTTGATAGAATATTTACCTTATTAGCCTTAGTGACCAAAAAAACAAACAAACAAAATCAACAATACTATTTTTTTAATTAGCACTGTTAAGGACACACAAAAAAGGTTTTAATCAATTTCTTTCTGATCATTGATAATATGGGTTTATTCTATCCAGACAGAAATTTCTCTCAACAAAAGCAGCCCAGTAATCTTGCCTTTTAAGTTTTTCTATAACCATCACAAATTTTGATACTGTAAGTACGATGCACTACTATTTACAATGCCAGAATTTTTAACCCTGATCTTCTACTGGTGATATCTACAATATGATGAGAATCTGGAAAATGCATCAATCTCATTTATTTAAAACCAACATGGCATGTTATCTTTAATCAAGTTTTCTAGCCTGAATGGAACTATATTGGCAACAATGATTCAGTAGAGAACAGTACACAAAGGTAAATGATAAAGAGTAATGGCCAAATCACAATAAAGGAAAAGCTCCTTCTCTTGCAGCTACAAATAAAAAAACAATCTAGGGAAAATCACCAAAAGACAACCCAATTCCGTTTCAGTAGTTACAACACTGGATATTGAAAGACCTAACTCTACAATTCAAATATTGACCATGCAAAATATTCATATTTTTTGTCCGTTGTTTCCCTCTATCATCTCCCTAGCCTTTCTCCTAGGTTAAGATAAATATAACACACACAGTAACACTTCAGGAACTCCAGAAATCATTGTTTCAGGTAAAACACACTGAAATGTGATATAAAGTTAATCTACATGCTGTTTAATGTGGAATGCAATTATACTCTTTCAAATTGGTAAGCACGTATATGCACAAACTCACACAATATGCATATAAATATAAAAACATTTCAATGGCCTTAAGTAGTGTAACCTAAAACCTGTTTTAAATTAAATATTTCATATTTTCTAATGAAAAAAACTAACAAAGTAACAAAGTTGTTTGACTTACTGTAAAATTCTCACACAATTTTTTAAAAAAATATTTTTCTTATTTATTTCAGAGAGGGAGGGAGAGGGAGAGAGAGAGGGAGAAACAACGATGAGAAAGAATCATTAATTGGCTGCCTCATGCCTATCCTACACTGGGGATTGAGCCGGCAACCCAGGCATGTGCCCTGACTGGGAATCAGACCGTGACCTCCTGGTTCATAGATCAACACTCAACCACTGAGCCATGCCGGCCGGGCTCTCACACATAATTTAAGACTATTTCTAGGTATATATCTACCCAATCCTTAGCATCCAACTTTGACATATAAAGCGTTTCTACCATCTTCATTTCATAAGTTGGCAACTTTCATAAGTGATCAAAATAGTTATGTCTTAAAGGAAAAAAACTAATAAATTTAGTTTATTATGGGTAGTAATTCTAAAACAAATTTTGTGTACATTGTGAGACTGATCAAGTAAGTAAATATTGGTATTACTATATAGATCAGCGGTTCTCAACCTGTGGGTCGCGACTCCTTTAGGGGTCAAACGACCTTTTCACAGGGGTCACCTAAGACCACCGGAAAACACATAAATAATTACATATTGTTTTTGTGATTAATCACTATGCTTTAATTATGTTCAATTTATTCCAATGGAATTGGGGGTCACCACAACATGAAGAACTGGATTAAAGGGTCGCGGTATTAGGAAGGTTAAGAACCACTGCTATAGATAGAGGGGCTGACAGCTGAGCAAAAAAGAAAAACTCGGATGCGAACGACAGTGTGGCGATTGTTGGGGAGATGGACTTGGCTTGGGGTGTTGAACATGGATCAGAAGACAAAATATTAAGATGACAATAAATCTATTAGATCTATAGTTCTAATCTATAGATCCCAAAATTGATCTATAGATTCAAAGCAATCTCGATGAGAGTCTCAGATGGCTTCTTTGTAGAAATTAATAAGCTGATTCTAAAATTACTATGGTATTTCAAGGGACCTTGAACAGCTAAAACAATCTTGAAAAAGAACAAGTTAGACAATTCATACTTCCCACTTCAACAACTACTACAAAGCAATAGTAAACAAGCCACTGTAACATTGGTGTAAAGATAAACATATAAATCAATGGAACAGAATTCAGAGTCCATAAATAAATCAATACATCTATAGTCAAATGATTTTTGTCAAAGGTGTCAAGATCATTCAATGGGGGAAAGAATAACCTTTAACAAATGATAATAGAAAATCCCTGGATAGCCACAGAATGAAGTTAGATGTGTACCTCATACCATATATTAAAATTAACTCAAAATGAATCAAAGACGTAAACGTAAGAGCTAACACTATAAGACTTTTAGAAGAAAACATACGGGTAAATCTTCATGGCTGTGGATTTGGCAATGGATTCTTAGATATGACACCAAAAACACAAGCAACCGGGAGGGGGGGGGGGAGATAAATTGGGCTTTATAAAATAATTTTAAATTTGTGCTTCAATGGACACTATCAAGAAAGTAAAAAGACAACACATAAAATAGGTGAAAATATTTGCAGATCATATATCTGTGAGAAAAGGAATTTGTATCTAGACTATACAAAGAACTCTTACAACTCAATAATAAGACAATCTGATTTGATAATGGGCAAAAATCTGAATTAACATTTCTCCCAAGAAGATATACAAATAATTAATAGGCACATGAAAAGATGCTCAACATCACTAGTAATCAGGAAATGTGTATCACAGTAGTTGCCTGGAGTACAAACCTTCTTGTATCTTTTGAATTTTTGAGCCATGCAAATATATTATTTATTCCAAAAATAAATAAAATTCGCATTTTAAAAACTTTTTTTAAAAAAAGGAAATGTGTATCAAAACCTTAATGAGATACCAATTCTCAACCACTAGGATGGTTATAATCCACAAATCACAAAATAACAAGTGTTGGTGAGGATGCAGCAAGTAGAGAAATCAGAACCCTCATACACTGTTCATAGGAAAGTAAAATTGTGCAGCCATTTGAAAAATAGTCTAGCAGTTTCTCTAACAGTTAAACAGTTACCATAAGACCCAGGAATTATGTTCCTAGGTATATGTCCAAGAGAAATAAAAAGATACATCCATACAAAAACTTGTACACCAATGCTTTCAGCAGACTCATAGTAACCAAAAAGGAGGAAACAAACCAAATGTCCATCAATTGATAAAATGTGGTATATCCAATTAATGGAACAGTATTCTGCTATTAAAAGGAACGAGGTACTGCCCTAGCTGGTTTGGCTCAGCGAATAGAGCATCTGACTGCAAACCAAAGGGTCCCGGGTTCGATTCCGGTCAAGGGCATATACCTCAGTTGCAGGCTCCTGCCCCGACCAGACCCTGGTTGGGGCGCATGTAGGAAGCAACCAATTGATGTATTTCATGCATATCAATATTTCTGTCTTTCCCTCTCTCTTCCATTCTCTCTAAAAATCAATGTAAAACTATCCTCAGGTGAGGATTAAAAATAATAATTAAGATAAATAAAGTACTACTGAAACATGCTACAACATGGATGAACTTTGAAAACATTAAATACACTAAGTGAAAGAAGCCAATCATAAAAGATCACATTTTGTATGATCCCATTTATATGTTATCAGAATAGGCAAATCTAGAGAAACAGTAGTAGACTGGTGGTTGCTTGGGTCTAGGGAGGACAGGGACAAAATATTAAGATAGCAATAAATCTATTAGATCTATAGTTCTAATCTATAGATCCCAAAATTGATCTACAGATTCAAAGCAATCTCGATCAGAGCCTCAGATGGCTAAAGGGTATATAGATCATCTTTTTGAGGTAATGAAAATGTTCTAAAATTGTGGTGAAGGTTGCTTGTCTGTGAATATATTTAAAAACACTGAATTGTACACTATCAATGGAAGAACTGCATGGTATATGAATTATCTGTAATAATAAAAGCATAATATGCTAATTAGACGGGACATCCTTCTGGACCACCTTCCAGATGAAGCCAGGGCTGCAAGGGAAGCCCGAGTCCCGGGTGCCTGCCAGCAGCCAGAGGGAAGCCTGGGTCCCAGGTGCCAGAGGGAAGCTGGTGCTGGCAGACGGGGGAAAGAAGGCCTACTCGTGTACAAATTTCGTGCATTGGACCTCTAGTTTATTAATAAAGCTATTTATTTAAAAGTTCAGATTTAATGGTGCTATCAAAGCCCAAAATTTTTATGTTCTTATATCTTAAGGACAACTGTGCAGAGGGCTTCAAGTACCTTATTATTCAAGTGTTACAATTTTTACAATCATATGAGGAAACTGAGGCATAGATAAGTTGACCAAAGGAATATAGTTAAATCAGTTGGTAGAGTTTGAACCCATATCAGCAATTCCATAGTCATGTGTTACTTCCACTGTACCTATTTGTGGATTTGGTCTAAACTAGGAAACTCAGAAAAGATGTCAACATCACATTATCTATATGTCAAATTATCATTTACTACAGAATGCCATACTGAACACTTCTGCTAGAATATTACATACATAGTAGGATCTGGGTTATTATATACAAAAATAACTAGTTATGACAAATAGAGACTTTACCACTACCTCAGTAATTTCCTTACTTTTACTATCTTCTAAAGCAGAGGTATGGAACCATTTTTCTGCCAGGGGCCATTTGGATATTTATAACATCATCTATAGGCCATGCAAAATTATCAACTTAATAATTAGCATGCTATATTTGGTCAAACATTTCATGGACTCATCCCTAATGCCTTGGCAGGGCCAGGCCAAATGATTTTTCCAGCCTTATAGGGCTTGCTGGCCGGATGTTCCCCACCCCTGTACTAAAGGGCTTCCTCTTTTCTCTCATTATAAGATTTTACCTTTCATTTCTCTCTCCTGGATTTCCCGTTCCTTCTTGGCCTGAATGGCAAGCAGCCGTCTGCTCTTCACAGTACTAATCATGTCAACAGCTTCCGTATCTACCTGGGGTTCAAACTTCACAACTTTTTTCCTATCGGTTTTGCCTAACCCATTCTCCTCTTTTCCATTTTCTTTATTTCTAGCTTCCATTTCTTTCCGTTTCTGTTTCTCTGCTCTCTTCTTATCATTTTCTTCCTTTAATACAGCAAGCCGTTCCTTCCACAACTCTGCAGACATCTGCTGTCTTGATTCCATATGGTCTTGCACTGAATATGTCATGAGAATCCGGTGGCAGAGTGCTGTCAAGATCTGTAGCTTCTCTTCTGATGTTAGCTCAAAAAATTCAGAAGTTTCCAGCTTCTCTAAGAACTCATCTTGTACTTCATTGTCCTCAAATGGTGCTGAATCTTTATTGTCATCTGTGTCTGAGCCCTCACTTTCTTCCTGAACATCAGATCTGCGCAAGCAGAGCCGCACCAGCTCTGAAACAGAATGCAGAGTCAGGGGGATTTCTGACAGCTTCATTCCCAATTCACCATAGTCTTCTGCGATTTCATCTTGTAATAAGGTCTGTAAAAGGATGACCAAGACTCTGTTCAGGTATAAAAAACCACCTTTTTCTGCACTCAAGGCTTCCATAAGAGACACAGCAGTAATAGGATACTGAGCATCTGGTAAGAGTAGTCCAGAATAACAGCTCAAAAACTCCACCACCAGGGCTACATCCCCAAAGAGTGTGTTGGGCAGCCCTTCAGGGGTATCCACCAATCTAAATGCTGGAAGGTGCTTGCCAGTTAATTCTTGGTCCTCGTATCGCTTCTGTTTTTCTAGTTTCTCAAGCATTTCTTTCTCTCTCCGCTCTTTGGCTTTCTCCTTCAACTTTTCTCTCAACTCCTCTCGTTTCTTTTTCAAATAGTCTTTGCGTTGCTCTTCAGACATAGAGGCCCACCTTTTTTTGTGCTCTAGAAGCTCAAAGCGTTTTTGAACGATATTCCGCAATTCTTCTGGGAGACGAGCTCTATCTTCATTAGAAAGAAGACGAGCTGTTTTAGAGATAACGCAAGACAGGGCACTCTTCTTGTCCTCCTTGTCTTTGTTTTCTTTGTAGTAGGCAATAAGGTGTAGGGCAGCGGGAGGCAGATGCTTATGAGGTTTACTAGAGGACCTGGGTGTACCCCCAGAATTCCGGGGGGCTCGTGTCATCTTCTGAGTGCCTTTGGCCATATCCAACAAAGTCATCTGCTTCATTTTTGTTTTAGGAGACTTCAGGCCCTTTTTTGGAGATCTGGAATTCCCTGTGGATTTCTGTCCATTCAGGATGCCTTTGCTTCTGCCCTTTGCTTTCAAAGGTTTGTCATTGTGCTTCCCTGGTTTCTTGGCAGGTGGGCCTTTCTTAGGAATGTGAAAGTTAGCATGTAATTTGTTGGTTGACATCATCTTCATCACTTCTTCCAGATGCTCTTCTGGAGATTTGGAATTCTTTGAGTTCTTCACCTTGAGTGGTGAGCCATTCAAGGATTTCTTCAAGTGTACATGACACCATAACTTGGGATTTAGTGGTGAACTCAAAGAAGAGTTATCTGTCTTGGATTTCTTTGAGGGCTTCCTGTCTGGGGATCCAGTATTCTTCCTCTTAGTAGAAGGGTTGAGAGTCATATACTAGAATTTAAAAATAGAAGCAAAATTAATTTAAAAAACTAGTTTAAAAAAGCAACATTTAAGTATCCGAAAGGCCCTCTTTTCTGCTCTTCAGGCAAAACTACAAATTCATTTCTCTTTATAAATACTATGTCCCTGAAAAAACAGTGTTATATCCGTATCAACACAAAATTCTCGATACCTAGGCTTAAAAAGCTATACTGTAATATTAGACATTTTTGCTATGCAACTAGCTTTGTTTATATACAAATTAACAGTTCTTAAATACTTGAATGAACTGTGAACCATTTCCCCAGAAAAGACATATAAAAATTATGCAAACAATTTCCGAGTCCACCCATGGATCCCAGATTAAGAATACCTGATCTAGACCTAACCAGTTTGGCTCAGTGGATAGAGTGTCAGCCTGTGGACTGAAGGGTCCTATGTTCTATTCCAGTCAAGGGCATCTGCCCCAGTTGCGGGCTCGATCCCCAGTAGAGGGCATGCAGGAGGCAGCAGATAGATGATTCTCTCTCATCATTGATGTTTGTATCTCTCTCCCTCTCCCTTCCTCTGTGAAATCAATAAAAAATATATATTAAAAAAAGAAAAAAAGAATACCTGATCTAGCCCTAGCTAGTTTGGCTTAATAGAGCATCGGCCTGCAGACTAAAGGGTCCCAGATTCAATTCCAGCCCACAGCATGTACTTCAGTTGCATGTGCGGGAGGCCCCTGGTTGGGCACATGCGGGAGGCACCAATCAATGTGTCTCTCTCACACTGGTGTTTTTCTTTCTCTCAGTCTCTCCCCCTCCCTTCCACTCTCTCTAAAAATTAATGGAAAAATATCCTCAGGTGAGGATTAACAAAGAGTACCTGATATAGATAAGGGGAACATGTGAGAAAATTTAAAAGTATTGCTCTTTGCCAAAACCAGAAATATCAACGATGAGAGAGAATCATCGATCGACATGCCACCTACCGGGGATCGAGCCCACAACCCAGGCATGTGCCCTTGATTGGAATCGAACCCAGGGCTCTTCAGTCTGCAGGCCAATGCTTTATCCACTGAGCCAAACCAGCTAGGGCTAAAAGTATTGCTCCTGAGACAGGACTAGGTTTTCATCCTTTAAGCCTTTGTTCCAACTGGGAATATTCTATGCTCTTAAGGTTTACATTTAAAGATTACCATTAAGTATTTCTGTTTAAATTCAGAAGCCTATTTTCTTATTAAAAGTATCAGTGAGGCCCTGGCCAGTGTTGCTCAGTGGTAGAGAGTTGGCCTACACACCAAAGAGTCATGGATTCCATTCCGGTCAAGGGCACGTACCTGGGTTGCAGGTTTATTCCCTGGCCCTGATTGGGGCGCAACCAATAAATGAAGTCAGTATTTTGTGGAAGAGCCACACTGAAGGGGCCAAAGAGCTGCATGTGGCTCGCATGGGCCGCAAAGTTCCAGTGTGGGAGCAACCAATCAATGTGGCTTTCTTACATCAATATTTCTCTCTCTCCATCTCCCCCTTTCTCCCTCTCTAAAAACCAATGGAAAAAATAACCTCAGATCAGGAATTTTTTTTTAAAGTATCAATGAGTATACTAACAATAACAAAGACACTGTTCTCATGACACTGACAGAATAAGTCTTCAAATTCCCTTTTGACGTTTCTCCATACCTTAAGAACTCATTCTAATGAATATACTAGTAACTATAAGCCCTCTAAATTCTCAATTTCATTTAATTCTCTTTGTTCATCCTCTCACATCTTTCTAGCTCACTTCCTCTAGTACCCCAACTTTGTAATCCTTCAATCCCACCAGGCTCTCCAATCTGTTAATTTTATCATTTTCACCATGCTCATACTTCCCTACCCTTCTAACCCAGATTAAATTCTTTTGTCTCTCTTGCTCTGTTATATCTAATCACTCCTGGCCTGCACATGTTCAGGTAGCTCAGTTGGTTAGAGCATCATCCCAATAAGCCAAGGTTTCAGTTCAATCTCCGGTCAGGCACATTCAAGAACCAACCAATAAACGCATGAATAGGTGGAACAAGAAATCGATGTCTCTCTCTCCTCTCTCTCTCTCTCTCAAATCAATACATAAAATTTTTAAAAAGAAACATGACTCTAGTCATGTATCTAGAAGATACAATGAATGTGTGATATTAAAGTCATAACCAAGTGCCTTCAAATGGGTCCTGAATGCCACCCAGTAATCACAGTATATTCCCTTAGTCCAGTTGTCGGCAAACTGCGGCTTGGCAAACCAGGCTCGCAAGCCACATGTGGCTCTTTGGCCCCTTCAGTGTGGCTCTTCCACAAAATACTGACTTCTGCGCATGGGCCGCAAAATTTCAATCGCACTGTATGTGCGCACCCACACGTGGTATTTTGTTTTTATTTTTTGTTTTATGTACACAGAAACAACAGTCATGAGTTCTATGTTTTAAAGAATTATAAAGAAAAAAACCTAGCAGCTAAAACAAATTAAATGAAATAATAACCAGCAATGAAAAGGTACAGCCAATTTCAAAAAAAGTACTATTTCAAGTGATCAGGAGAAAGACTAGATAATCTCTAAAATACTTAAATTCTAAAAAACTTCAAGTTTTTTAGTGGAAGGGACTAAGGGACTAACTTGATAAGACCAACATGCTGAATCCCCAGTACAGGGTGTGCAGGAGGCAGCTGATAGCCAAGATTTGGAATCAGCCCAAGTACCCATCAATACATCTATATATATAAAAACCTAAGCGACCAGCCCACTGGCCAGTAGCTATAATGCGCACTGACCACCAGGGAGAAGACGCTCAATGTGGAAGCTGCCCCCCTGGTGGTCAGTACGCTCCCACAGGGGGAGTGCCACTCAGCCAGAAGCCAGGCTCACAGCTCACAGCTGGCGAGTGCAGCGGTGGTGGTGGGAGCCTCTCCCACCTCCATTGCAGGCTGACGGTAAGGGCAAGGGGTCCCGGACTGTGAGAGGGATACCTGACTGCCTAAGCTGGCAGGTGGACATCCCCCGAGAGGTCCCAGACTGTGAAAGGGCGCAGGCTGGGCTAAGGGACAGAGACACACACACACACACCAGTGCACGAACACATGCACCACGCCTCTAGTAAAAATATCCTATCTAATAAAGAGGGGATATGCTAATTGACCCTCACACCATCGAAAAGATGGCAGCAGCCTCAGCCAATAAGGAGGTAATATGCTAACTGACTGCCCCGCCCTCAAAGATGACAGTGCCCACAGCCACAAAATGGTGGCGCCCAGTTTCCTCAGTCCCACCGGGGCCTTGCTGCATGCCTGTCTCCGGAGTCCCCCAGTCCCCTCAGCCCCCAGCCACCCAGGGCTGGCCCAAGGCTCAGGCAAGCCTCAGATGGTGGCTGCCCAGCCAATGCCCAAGGCACAAGCAAGCCTCGGCTGTTGGCTGCCCTGTCATCCAGGGCCAGCCCGAGGTGTAGGTAACCAGAGCTTGCCAAGGCTTGTGCTGCCGACAGTGGCAGCAGCAGAGGTGTGATGGGGGCGTCGCGATCCTCTTATCGACAGTTGCCTCCCGCCCCAGAGGGCTCCCGGACTGTGAGAGTGAGCAGGCTGGACTGAGGGACAATCCCCTCTAGTGCATGAATTTTCATGCACTGGGCCTCTAGTATTTAATAAAAGAAACAGTCTGGCCTTGGCTGGATATCTCAGTTGATTAGAACATTGTCCCAACATACCAAGGTTGTGGATCGATCCCCAGTCAGAATCAACCAGTGAATGCATAGATGAGTGGAACAACAGATCTACATACATACATATATACATACA